AGTACTTGACTAGCACGCATAAAGCCTTGGGTTCAATCCCCAGCACTACAAACAAGTAAAATACGTACCTGTTTAAAAGAAAATGAAAACCTACCACCACCCTCAACTGTCTGACTCAATGCTCCAAGTTTCTCAAAGAACACCAGGTTTTATGTTTCATGAAGACAGATTAATATTCTAACTACTTTTTTTCTGTAAGGCTGGAAATAAGGCATTTTACCCAGAGCTTGGTAAGGGTAGACTATGACAATGCATAACACAAATATTCCACTAGGGGGTGCCACTCTCCTGATATGTTGCATGTAGCCATTGAATAACCGAAGAGAATTAGAGGAACAAGGCACTCATTTTATGAGTCCCTCATTTTACAGAAGAGGAAACTAAACATTCCATAGTCAGCCCTTTGGTGGTGGATTAAGATTAGCAACACCATGGTCTCTTGAATTGCTACCCAGGCTCGGGCATTTATTTAGCATTAAAACCGCAAAGCTTGGCTATTTAACCCAAGAATATTAATCCTGTAAATTTAGAAGCCTACAATCTCATTCTCCCCAATCCTACTTATCTGCAAGTGTTAATCATGAGGACTCTTCAGTCACTCTGTCCATGACAGCTTCTTTGGCTGGCACAATTAGCACTCATACACAGACACATTCACACATTGTTATTTGACTTGTATCTCATGCCTGAACTCAAGGAAATTACCTACTACACAGCACTGACCTCAGAGGAGACAACTTAGTACTGTGGCGCCCTAAGCAAGTGCTCTGTGGAGGAAGATCACTCTGCATCTTTTCTCCATACAGCCCACTGCCCAGAGAAAACCCTCCATCCTACAGCGTCTACCACGTTAATATGACTAGTCCATATTGCTTAGAGAAAGCTAAAAGCCATGTGGCCTTTCCCTGTCTAGGTACCTTCAGAGCATCAATAAATTAAGCTCTTCCTAAGCTGCATCCATGTCGGCCACTGTGATGATGAAATGGCACTGAGAAAAAACCGTTAACATTGAAGCAAACTAAGCAGAACAAATAAACTCAACTGCTTCAAGACCCATGTAAAAAGCTTCTGCACAAGCCAAATTCAAATTAATTTGTTACCTCCATGCCCCAGCTCAAAAAAACAAATCAGCTCCCAATATGCTCCAAAGACAAAACAATAAATGTGAGGGACATCTAGACTAACAAAAAGTAAAGATAAAGAACAAGACCCAAGGACCAATCTCCTGGCACCAGGGTAGGCACACGGATCATAAGCTCATTCCCAGCAGCTCACGGGGCCTCAGCCTGTCAGCGTCAAGTTCAGAGACATTAAGTAACTTCTCATGGTCTCACAGCTTAGTGGAATTGAGATGCGACCCAGTCTATCAGAGTACATTATTCATTCTGTAGGTTCTAGAAATTTTATGAAGAAATCAGATTACTACACTGGGAGCTCCTGAATTAAAAGTGAAGTGAAAGCAGGGTGTATAACCTATAATCCTAGGACTCAGGGTGTCAAGGCTGGAGAACTGCAGGCAGGAAAATGTGAAAGCTCTTATTTATTTCTGTTGTGATCATCTGACAGTCTCCAGGATGGGTGGGGGAAGGAGGTGAAACTCACATGCTGATCAACCTCGTTTCAGGGGCCTCACTCATGTCCTGTCCTGTAACCCAGGAGAGTCTGTGGACAGAAGCAGAATTCCTCTCTCCTGACAGCATTCAGAGAACTGAACACTCGGGAAGTCTTCATCTGTGGCTCTAACTGTGCTTTGGAGCATCTACTGATAGAATGACAGACTAATAGAACCTAGCTAAAACAGGACTTCCTTATGTTGAAAATGTGGACATCCACAGTAAAACGTACCACACACAGCTCAGGAGTTTGGACATTTATCATGGCTCTTTCTTGATGAAAAACTGCCTTTGCACAAGATGAATGAAAAAAAAAAGAAAGAAAAAGGAAAGGGAAGGACATGACTGCTCCTATGTATGATGCAGGAGAAAGCTGGCTGTGGTGATAGAGGCTGGCCATCCTAGTATCAAAGAGGCTGAGATTAAAGGGATTGACAGTTTGAGGTCAGCCTGGGGTGACATAGTCAGTTCCAGGCCAGCCTGGGCTACATGATGAGGCTCTGTGTCAAACAATAAGGCATTACTGAATTTTACAGGACAATACAGGATTTCAGAACTGAGTCCACATTCTGGAGATGCTGGATGTGAAGAAAAAGAACTATACTGCCTTCCTGATGCCAAACGGTCCAAATCCTTTTGGGATAAAGAGTCTCTATTATCTCCAAGGCTTAAAATTAAATGTCTCAAAATCGCTAAACATGCTCAATTAACTTGGTAACAAAATGTTTTTGTTATCTTTATCTCACCACAAGCATTATTAGCCCAGGACAAGTCACTGCTATTGCTAAGCAAGGTCCAGGTTGTCTAGTAGCCTAGCCATAGACTCAGAAAAGGACTGATTTTAGTCTGACATAGCTACTCTGCCTTTGCCTCCATCTGCTCTACCACTGGGAGCTGGGAGGGGGAAGTCATTAAAGACAGTAGTGGGGGAGAGTTTGTGGTTAGGAAGCAGAACCTTAGAGCTGTGTGGTAATCATTTGTGTAAAAAGCTTAGGACACACCAGACAGCCAAAGCAGGAAGCAGGGGAAGGAAGCCATGAAGTTCCTTTCCGCTAGGGATTCCCCTCTTATATTAAGCAGGGGGTCAAAAAGAGAAAACTCCTTTTCCAGTGTTAGGAACACCAAGATACCGGAAATGTCAGGAATTACAGGGATAATTCCTGTAATATGTGGCATACCATTCTTTTTAGGAAGATACAGCAATGCCAGTTGTTTGGGGGAGATTATGCTATGTCTCCAGTTTAACAGGGCTTGAGGTACCCTGTTACTTCACACATGTGCGCCTTGCTGATAGGACAAAGTTACAACAGGTTATCCAGCAGGAAGCCGAGAGTGATGTATGGGTGGGAACAGCAGCAGCGAAGCACTGAAAACACTGTACCTACTCTTGTGATACAACCCTCCGAGGCTCGGAGGTACCAAGGAAGAGGGGAACAGGAAGGATACAAGCTCTAGAGGACAGGTAGGAGCAGGGCTGTGAAATAGCCCTCCACATGTGACACGGCATCGCGCACACAAAGAACTCACAGCAGCTGCACAGATCTGAACAAGCCTGTGGAGCTGTTAATAGCTGCTGGGAGGGAGAGAAGAAGGGAGAGGGAGAGGGAGAGGGCGGGAGAGAGAGGGAGGGAGAGAGAGAGAGAGAGAGAGAGGGAGAGAGGGAGGGAAGGAGAGAGGGGCCACTGTCAGGCCGCTTATGCCCCACACCCATGTATATGGACAGCACTCACTAGATTCAGTGGGCTATAAAAAAAGAAGACATAAAGGGGGCAGTGGTGGTGCACGTCTTTAATCCCAGCACTTGGCAGAGGCAGGCAGATCTCTATGAGTTCCAAGACACAGAGAAACCCTGTCTCAAAAAACAACAAAAAGGAAGTTAAGAGACATGTTTGGGAAGGTCTGGAGGGAACAAAGTGAGGAGAATAGGGATGGATGTGGTCAAAATACATTGTGTACATACATAAATTTCTCAAAGAATAAAAAATATTATGTAAAAATAGCCACATTTTGGTGGTAGTGCACACCTTTAATCCCAGAATGTGGCAGGCAGAGGCAGGCAGATCTCTGAGTTTGAGGCTAGCCTGGTTGGTCTACAGAGTGAATACCAGGACAAGCAGGGCTATACAGAGAAACCCTGTCTTGAAAAAACAAAAAAAACAAAACAAAACCGAAGGCCACAATTTTCTTAGTGTCTAATTTCACAATAGCAGTTTAAAAACATTACCTTATTTCAATATAATTATGATTCTTCAGAATCTTGGAAGACTTAAGATATCACTTTTAAACTCATCAAATAAGAGGCTCTCTCACTTTGATTTCTTTTAATTAAATGAGCCTGGAGATATAAGCAATTTAGTCTCTACTGGGAACTGTCTTTCAGTCGGTACTGTAATACTTGCTTGCTCTATCTACTGCTTTAAGTAACTCCAGTTTCACTCAATTGAACATGTGAACAGAAGAAAGAGGAAAACTCTGTGGACTTATAGTCATTATGCTACCACTTCCTGATGCACAAATGGCCAATCATTTTCTATCTGCTTCCATTCTAGGACAATTTCCTTCCAAAGTCTTACCAGAGCAATGTCTGCTCATCATTCCGAAAAATTCTTCTAAAACACTTTAAGCAACTTTTCTTTAGGATACCCCAAAACATCCATTTCTATTATTTCATAATATTTCCTGCCAGAATAAAATCTGTCTTTTTGTTGTGTTTTGTGTTTCTGAGACAGGGTCTTGTTATATAACCCAGACTGACCTACAACTGTGGTAATCCCTGTACCTCTGCCTCCCAAGTGCTGGGATCACCAGTGTTTGCCACAAGGGCCTCCTTCAAATTTCTAGTCATCACTACAGGCCCTTCTCTCTAGCAGCTTTTTGTACCACCCTGCCTTCCTTTTTTAGTCTGGAATTACTTTAATTAGAAGTTATTTTAACTAGAAGTGACTACTATTGCTTCTCAAAACCTACACAGCTATTTAAGACTAAATCGAACTGAATTTATGCCCTAAGATCTATAACTACCTACGGGTTTGGGAAGGGGAAGAAGGAATTTAAATCTTTTAAAATTTTGACTGAATTCCAGTTTTAAAGAATTGTTTGTATGTCTTCTGCCCCTAGAATGCTAATGGCATGACTGAACTCTGTACCATACCAACACACAGCCATATAGATAGCTGGTTCAGTCCACTGGCTATAATCACAGCCAGAATTATTGTTCAAGTCTGTTACTATAACCTTCTGCATCACTCGGATGGTAGCTGGTTGTCACATGACTGCTGAGAAAACCTCAAACTTCTGGGCATAGTGTAGCCCATTGGCCTGATTAGGTCACACAAACCTCACAGCCCTGAGTGTTACTCCCTCTTCATTTGTTGGAGTAATACATACCTCTTCATAATTTTTCGCCTCTACTCCATGCTTCATGTCTAGAATCACGAGTTGGTCAGGTATCCGCCCTGTTCCTGAGAGAGAAATCAAAAGACTCATTGTGCAGAATACTTAAAATTCCGGGAAATCACCCATCCACCCTCCCTCCTCCTAACCCTATCTCCTCAATAGAAGGAAACAGTCATAACTGCTCCCTGCCTCTCTGCAGCAGCCAAGTCCTGGCTTGGACTAAAATCACCAACACTGCAGACAAAGCTTCCATCTGTGTGGGGTGTTGGGAGCAAGCAGAACATGCTGCTGGCAAGGCAAACATCTCTGAGCAGGACACGAGAGACTGCAACTGGTACAGAGGGCAGACTAGAAAAAAAGAAAACAACCTTCCTGGACTAAGATACTCAAGTCACACCAGCAAGAAACTGAGTGTTGTGCACGTCAACAAGGAGTAGGCACCATTTCTACATCTCAAAAACAAGGCTCTGTCAAATTCCGACACAGTCAAGGCCTCTAAGGATTACAGGGTATGCTAAGTTAGATTACTTGGAACAAACCTCAGCATTGAAAACACAGGTCTTATCTAATCTAATATCCCTCTTTGTTTAAAACATTGAAGTAGGGCCAATTTTAATAAGTGAATAAAAAGTTTTAGGGATATCCCCTTAAGCCTTTGAGAGTTAGAAAAGCTCAAAAAAAAAAAGAAGAAAAGAAAAGAAAAAGAAAGAAAGAAAGAAAGAAAGAAAGAAAGAAAGAAAGAAAAGCTAAATTTATAGCATAACCCTCGAGATGTTTCTTAGAAGGAAATATCCATCTGGGGTAACAGGCCTAAACAATGCAGCAATCACAGTAGAAAATTAAACTGATATAGTGGCTCTTAAGACACTAAGCAGAAGAGGAAAGACTCAAAAACTCCAGAAAACTGGCCACAATTTCCTGGATTTTACCTATTTATAGAATAAAAAACTACTGGTATAAAGCCAGGCATGGTAGCACACACCTTCAATCCCATCACTTGGGAGGCAGAGGCAGGTGGATCTCTGTGAGTTCAAGACCAGCCTGGTCTACAGAGCAAGTTCCAGGACTGCCAGGGCTATACAGAGAAACCCTGTTTCGAAAAACAAAACAAAACAAAACAAACAAACAAAAGCAACAACATAAGAAAAACTGCCTACATGAAATTGGAAGCCTTAGGCAGATCTAGTGCCATTTAAGCAATGGGTTTCTTGATGTCATTAGTCACAGAGAATGGTACTATATCCTTTGCTGCCTGAGAGACAGATTTTTTGGAAACTGGCTGAAGTCAACTCAAACAGTACTGATGGAGAGCTCACTGGGAGCTAAAACTGTACTAGTGAGACTTTCCAAAGGTATAATCTCTGCCTTCAAATGACCTGATGATAACATAGGACAGAGGAACAGACAAACAAACATACATAAATTAAAAAAAATTAAACAAAGCCACATACACACACACACACACACACACACACACACACACACACACACACACACACACACAGAGTCCACATCTGACCCCATACTCATGATTTGTCCTTTGTCTAGAACGTCTTGCTCCAGTCTCACCCTCAGATGCTTGCTAGCAGTTTAATGTCAGCCTAGAGCTTACTTCTCCTTTCCTCTCCTCCCTCCTTTGTTCCACAGCTAGGATTATCTGAGCTAAGGGTTTGGATTTAAATTTTTACAGTATTTCACATTTTAACCACAGGTGTTGAGTTCGTGCATGTGTGCGTGTACGTGTGCATGTGTGTAATCTGCCAGAAGTAGGTGTCAGATCCGCTGGAGCTGGAGTTACAAGTGGTCTTACACTACCTAATCTGGATGCTAGAAAATGAACTCAATTCCTCTGGGAGAGTGGCAAACACTTTCAACCAATAAGCTATTTCTCCAGTCCCCTTTCCCCCTTTAACATAGGGTCTCATGTAGCCCAGAGTAGCCTAGAACTCACAACATAGCTACTAAATCTGACTGATTCTCCTATCTTCACTTCCCAAGCACTGGGATTATAGACATGAGCCATACATGCATGGCTGAGTGTGTTAAAAGACAATAAAAAACAACTTTGGAATAGACTAGAAAGATCGACTTGCAAGCAAAAAAAAACAAAAAGAAAAACAGACTGTATAGGTGATATTAAGATGCTGTGCAAACACAAAGACCTGAGTTCAATCCCCAGAACCATGTAAAATCCAGACATGGTAGTACATGTCTGTAATTCTAGTGCTCCCATGGCATGAAACTGAAGGCCACGATAAGAGAACCCTTAGGAGCTCCCAGCCTGCTATACTCAGCAACAAACAAGGTGGACAGTGAGAACCAAGACCGGCAGTGGGTTGTCTGCTGACCACATATGTGCTTTGGTGTGCAAGGGCCTGCACTCACACATACAAACACTAAGAGGCATGTAAGAATGTGTGCATGTGAAAGCACTCATACACACACACCATACACTCATACAAAAAAATTTTAAACATTAAAAAAAAAACCCCACAAACTCAAAAGACTAAGACAGCCATGGGTGTCTTCTGAATATTAAATCAACACGTCTACAATCAAGGCAGCCTCTTTGCCCACTCCTATGTGAACTCTCACGAGAGTGACACTGTCCACAGACGTGGTATAAATGTGCTTTCCTTCCTCATTTAGAGGGACATGAGGCAGACAAGAGTGTAGCTCTTGCACAGGGCCTGGGCTTAGTTCCCAGCGTCCACACAACATTCCACAACCATTTTAACCCCAAATCCCAGAGGCCTGGGCTTAGTTCCCAGCATCCACACGACATTTCATAACCATCTTAACCCAAAATCCCAGAGGATCCTATGACCTTCTGAGGCAACAGGCATGCATTCAGTGCACATACATGTAAAATGAAGTCTATAAGTAAATAAAGAAAACAGACAAACCCAAGAGAGTGATGTCCTGGTTAAGTGTCTTGTTAACCTGACACAATCTTGATTCATTGGAAAGAAAGCTCAGCTGAGAAAATGCCTTCATCAGATGGCCTATGTGTAAGTCTGTGGGGTATTTTCTTGACTGATGACTGATGTAGGAGGGCACACTGAGGGTGGTACCATCTCTGGGCCAGTGGTCCTGGGTGTTATAAGAAAGCAGGCTGAACAAGCCATGGCGAGCCAGCCAGGATAAGCAGTGTTCCTTTCATGGCTTCCGCTCCTTTTACAATGTACTGTAAGTTGTGAATGAAATAACCCTTTTCTCCTCAAGGTGGTTCTGGTTAGTATTTTCTCAAAGCAGTAGAAAGCGAATGAAGTTAGGTGGTTATAGCTCACTGGTAGAGACGTTGCCTTTGATGCCCAAGGCCTGAGTTCCATCCCTAACACTGGGGGTGGCAGGAATCGTGGCACACACTTATCATGCCTGTACTTAGGAGGCTAAGGCAGAAGGATCAAGACCAGCCTGAGCCACATAGTGAAGTAAACTTAAATAGTTCTCAGTCTTGTTTGTCAAGTGATCACATCCCCCGTTCCTGGTCTAGGAATGTATTTCTATGACAGAGAACCACCCAGCAAGTGCAAAACCTTGCATGCAATCTCCACTATGGTAAAGAACATACAACAACCCTTCACCCTTTCTCTCCTGTCTTTCTTGTTTTTAATTTTTTTCTTTTATATTTTTAAAGATGCTCTCATACCTACCATAGCCCAGGATAACCTCAAACTCACAGTATCCTGTGGTCTCAGTTTCTTGAGTGCTGGAATTGTAGGTGCAAGTTACTATACCTGGTTCTTGAGTATTCTCTGTCTACCAAAATCTTCCATTTTTGTGTGTCATCGAGTATAACATTATTTAATTGGGCATTTCCAAGCCCAATTAAAACCACAAAACCATGGGCCTCTGGCTGATCTGAGTATAAGCTATCCAGTTTCTTGTTAGAATAGCTATCCTATTTCCTTAGCTGATCTGAAGGCCTTAAATGATCTTTAAAGTTTGGAGAAAAGAAAGGAAGGAAGGAAGGAAGGAAGGAAGGAAGGAAGGAAGGAAGGAAGGAAGGAAAGGAGGACGGACCTTTCTAGTGATATCTCTCTCTTCATCTGTCTGGCAAATAGTCTATTTTTTTTTCTTTTTCCAGATTTTGGTAAAGAAGATTTAGGGTCAAAGCAAAACTACATGGAAAAGACTTAGTTTCCTTCAGCTCCAGAGGACTTATTACACAGGCCAGTCTTCCCCATTCCCAGCATCTGCTATGGGAGTGATCAGTAGATGATAACCTACACTGATACATTATCATCCATAGCACATAAGGCAGTAGAACAAATGTACCAATATACACATCATTAGAGTACCAGACAGGAGGTCCCACTGCCCTAAAAATCCTCTGTGCTCTATTTGTTCAACCTTTAATTCCATCCAGACAATTTTTTAAAAGATGTATCAAAGGCTACAAGGCATTGGGTCTCTGTACTAGAATAAACAAGAACCAAATGAAACTAGAAATCAATCCTGCCGAGTTGGAGAGGAGGCTTAAGCAAGGACAACCCTGCTTACTTACCCTTGCTCTCAAAACACACTTCAAACATGTCATAGTCTTCCGTGGTGAAAGCAAATTTCCCCTTAGTTGCATCTTCCTTGGCATACAGAATATGGCCCGCAGAATCTGTGATCTAAAGAAGAAATAAAGAATAGTTACTTAGTGAAGAACCCCGAGGAAGGGTAACTGCAGAAACTGGGGAGACAGATAATATAAAAAGAGAGCCAGGGGTTGGGGAAGTTGCTCAGCTGAAGAGCAATGCATAAAACCCTGGGCTTGATTCCCCAGCACCAAATAAAAACTGAGTGTGGCAATGCACACTAGCAATCCCAACACTGTTCAAGTGGAGGGAGGAAGGTCAGAAGTTCAAGGTCATCCTTAATTATACAGAGAATTCAAGACCAGCCAAGTCTATATGAGACCTTGCCTAAAAAACCAAACTAAAAAGACAAGGGAGAGCTGGAGAGATGGCATGTGCTTCTTTCTGCACCCATGTCCAGTGCCTAACAACCACCTGTAACTTCAGCTACTGGGAATCTGCTGCCTCCAGCCTTTTAGGGCATCTGAACTCATGTGTATATACCCACACACAGGCACCATATACACAAAACTAAAATTAATAAAGGGTTTTGAAAGAGAGAAGAATTGAACTAAAAAATAAAACATCCTGCAAGCGTGATAGTGAAACTAGGTGTGGTGGCACACGCCTTTAATCCCAGCACTCGGGAGGCAGAGGCAAGTGGATCTCAGGATAAAACAGCCCAAATAACAGTGAAAGTTTGTTCATTCAAATAGGTTAAACACCTTTCTTTTATTTTCTTTCAGATTATTTTATGTATATGAGTTTTGCCTGCATATGTATATATATACCACGTGTGTGCCTGATGCCGTGTTAGGTCTAAAGCCCTCCATGTCTAAAAATGAGCTCAAGCTGGGCTACAACTCAAGCCAGGGGTTAGATACAAGCCAGCATTACTCAGGATCTTGTGAAAAGGATTTTCCAGGGTTTCTATCCCCCCAAAGAGGCAACTCTTATAATCCATATGATCTGTCCACCCCATGCTCTCTCGAAGACAGCCCTGGGTATGTCCAGTTTGTTGCTCTTTCTCTCTGCTCTGGACCCTTGCAGACACCTCTGGATATTTTTCTAAATCACAATAAAAGCCTCCCCCCTAATGGAGTGGTCATGGTGTGGTTTCTTTACTGTGCCCCTTGGGATATACCAGTAGGTCAGAAGAGGGCAATGGATCCCCGGGAACTGAAGCCAGGTAGATGCTAGGAACCAAATCCAGGTCCAGTGCTCTTAACTGCTGAGCTCTCTTTCTAATTCCTAAAATCTGTTTTTAAAATTTTTAATATTCATTTGTTTTATTTTGTATATGTGTCTGTGTTTATGTATGAGCACATGCGGAGGTCAGAAGACAACTTAGGAGACTCAGCTTTCTCCTTCCCCATGTGAGTCCCAGGTATCTAACTTGGATTGTCAGGGTGAGCCATCTTACTGGCCCTAAAATCTATTGACCGTATAGGACTGATCCAGCCAATGCTTTAAGTTATACAGACTTTATTGTCAAAAACTCACATTATAGAACATAGACTTATGTATTCCTTAAAGAGGGAAATAAAAAAAGAAAGATACAATAAAACATATTTCTTATATAAAATAAATCTCGACATGGCAAGGTTGGAGAGGGTGAGAATAGACAGGACACTTGATTACAAAAAGGAAAAGCCATGTATACCCACGATCTATTTCCACAAACTTCATGTTAATTATGTTGGTGGAGGGCTAGAGAGAAGGCTCAGAGCTTAAGAGCATATACCGCTCTTACAGAGGATGTTAAGTTAGGTTTCCAGCACTCAGTCAGATGGCTCACAACTATCTATAACTGCAGCTCAAGGGAGTTCTTATGCCTTTCTCCTCCTCAGGCACCTGAGCATGAACACGAACACACACACACAAACATTCATATTTCTCTCTCATACACACAAACAAAAATAAAAAAAAAAAACCTAAACATAGAGGATAAGCCTAACTTTTTCTTCAAAAAGACATGTTTAACATTCACAAATGATGGCTTGTTTATCAGTGGGTCACAGCAGTCCTCATTATTTTTAACTGCTCCATTATCAAGGATAACCTACAAGAACAGATGAAGGGCACACTGTGTAAGTGGCCTCATATAAAGCAAGGGGACAATGCAGCAATTTAAGGGATAAAATCCCAGGCTAAAAGCACATATTCACTCATCACTTAAAAGAGGAAGCTACTTTGCAATGTGAAACACAAAAGTAGTAGCTTCTTTACCTTAAACTTGACATGCTAATGTCATTTGTTAAAAAACGAGATAGATGAAAAAAAAATGTTTTAAGGTAGTCTCCCCATGTAGCCCTGGAACTCACCAGGCTGGCCTTGAAATCACAGAGATCTGCCAGCCTCTGCATGCTAAAATTAATTAAGTCATGTACCACTGTGCCCAGTCTAGAAGTGAAAATGTAAAAGTAAAATTGAGTAGCACACATTCCGACCTTTTTGTTGTTTTAAGACAAGGCTCGTGTAGCCTAGGCTGTGTCCCTGAATTTGTTATGTAGCAGATAACTTTCAATTCTTCATCCTCCTGCCTCTTCATCCCAGGAGCACTGAGACTGTAGGCATTTAGCTCATGTACACAGCCTATTTATGTACATGTTCACATAAGTACTCATGCCATTTACTTACTTATTAATGTGTTTAGTATGTTGTAAAAGTTCAACATATGTAACCCAGCTATACAGATCAGGGAAGTGTTGAACTCCCAGAGATCCACTGCCTCTGTCTCCAGAGTATTGGGATTAAAGGCATGTGCTTCCATACCTGGCCCAACACATTCTTCATATTTGTAGAATGGATACATTAAAATACCTTAATTATTTAGCTGGGTGTAGTGGGGCACACATTCAATCCCAGCACTGGGAGAGACAGGCAGATCTCTGAGTTCAAGATCAGCTTGATCTACATAGTGAGTTCTAGGTCAGTCAGGACTATATAGAGACCCTGTCTCAAAAAAAAAAAAAAAAAAAAAATTTTTTTTTCAATGTGTATGAGTGTTTTGCCTGCATGTATGTCTGTGTACCATGTGCACGCCTAGTGCCTACAAAGCCAGAAGACAGTGTCAGATCCCCTAGAAGTAGAGTTATAGACATATGTGAACTGCCAATTTGGTTCTGGGAATTGAACCCAGGTCCCATGGAAGAGCATTAGTGCTCTTAAGTGCTGAGATGACTCTCCAGCCCAACTACTTTACTTCTTAAGTAGCTGGTGTTTTACTATAAGGAAAAGTATAGCAAATCCAGATCCAAAGTACATCAACTTGTCCAGCAGCCACCACTGTTCTCCACTGAAGAGCGCCAAGCCTTCTCAGGGCCTTTCCCACAGCAGCCCTGACAGCTCCTAGGGACTGCAGAGACTTCCAGCTCGCAGGTACACTGCTCTGACAAGGTGCTGCTGAAGCTCCAAAAGGGTTCCAAGACAGCAAGGAATGTATGCAATGATTGAAAATGCTTATATAAATATTTACACTTAAATACACAAATATATTAATACTTCCTTTGGTTCCACCATACATGGAAGTAGAAGCACTTTTTGTTTTGTTGTTGGTTTGAGACAGTGTCTCCCCATTATGAAGTCTTGGCCATTCCAGAACTCACTACATAGACCAGGCTAACCTCAAACTCACAGATATGTACTACCATGTACCACTGGCTAAGTAGAAGTACATTTTAAGAGTAGTTAATTCTGAAAGGTAGGACTTCCTATTTACACACACACACCCCGTTTTGTTATATATATTTACTTATATATTTCAAGAAGGACAGGAGCCATACCACACATGTGGAAGTAAGAGGGTGACTTAAGAAAGCTGACTGTCTCCACCATGAGGATTCTGGGAATTGAACTCAAATCAGCCTTTTTTTTTTTTTTTTTTTTTTTTTTAATAGCCCTTCTATTTTCTTAATTTTCTACACTGGCATATGTTACTTAGCAAGAAAAACAATAAAGCTATTTTGTTTTGGAAAAATAATAACTAAGGAAAGTTAACTTATTAGACAAATTTAAAAGGGTGTGTTAATAAAACTCCCAAGTTCTCTAATAACATTGGTTAATATTAGTTCAGTGTTTCTGCCTTTCACTCATCCATTAACCTGGGAGCCAGCTGAAATCCTGAGATCTGTGGTCACTGGGTAAGTGAGGGAAAGGTTATTTATCTATTCCCTTTTGCCATTTCAGTTTTGCATTTCTGTGATGATCAATGATGATAGACACCTTTTTGTGTACCTGTTGGCTTTTGGCATGAAGTGATGAAATAATCTAATTAACTAGGTTAATGAAAGCACCAACATCGTATATACAACTTCTGTTTATCAATTACACCAAAACTGAAGCTGAAAGCAAGACGCAGAGAAAGGACAGGTGGAATGCACTGCAGAGAACCACTGCTGCAGGGGCACAGGGCTGTGGAGCGCACGGTAGCCCTGGGAGAATGAGCTGAAGGATGAACAGCAACCACGGGAAGAAGAGAGGTAAGAGCTTCCAGCGACTGACAGTCCTCTCGAATGGGCCACAGCACTGCTCATCTGCATTCACACCTGAGGCATCAGTAGGTAGCCCAGGGGTCATGAGCTCAGCAAAGGAACACTTGGCCCTGAAGATTCCTTAAAGTCTCTGTGCACGGGATACTTTTCCTAAATAATCAATTAAGGAGAAAAGCAAGCAAGCAAAATGGTCTGGCAACTTCCCAAATCCCAAACTAATGTAGCCAGTGTGGTGCCACACTTCCTTTTTTCACAATCAGCCCACCCACTAAACACTCACTTTCCTACTGCCAGCCTCTCAAAAGCACACTGACATCTCTTAAGGAAAGTTCAAAATGGCAGACTGAAGGGACGGCTCTGTGGTTTGGAGCACTTGTTGCTTTTGCAGAGGACCTGGGTTTGATTCCTAGCACCCAAATGTGAGCTCACAGCCATCCATAACTCCAGTTCCAGAGGATATGACATGCTCTTCTGACCTCCTTAGGTACCATGCACACATGTGATACAGCATACATGCATTTAGGCAAAACATTCATACATATAAAATAAATCTGAAAAAAA